TTGTAAAATTCTTCTTCCTGTCATTTCAGCTCGATTCACATTCACACTTACGAACGAAAGGGAGCTGATTCTTCAGTTCTGAATTTGACAAAGAAATGCATTGAACGAAGGTTCACCCAACTCTTCCAGTTTGAAATGAATTATTTATTTCACGTTCGGCCCAAGGCTCTTGTGTCTGGAATCAATGAAGCCTGACATTTCATTATTATCAGTGGTTGCCTAGGGACTAGGATGGAAGCGTACCAATTGGCGGAGCGCGAATGTGAAACAGGCCTTATGTCAGGCCAGCAGAATGTGACCGTATTAGTTATTTTGTGTTTCTTCTGTAAACATTGGCCTGTTCCTGGAATCACACGTCTTTGCTTTCCACTTCATTGCAGTCGATGACGATTGGCCAACGGTTAATAAACGCCAGTAATCAATGCATGTGTGTTGTGAGGAAGACTGAGACTTCAAAAGTCATTCTCTCAAAACTGCGTTCCAGTGATATGCTGTCGTTTGCTAAAGCCTGCGCCGTTTGTGCTCCAGACATGAGCGATTCTTCAGATCACGCGTCTCAGGACACGCTAGCATCATGACAGCAAGACAAGCTAAATAAAATAATACAGTATCACGCGTGCTTTTCACTTTCACTTAAATGTCTGTTGCTGTTTCCAAGTGAAAAATACGATAACGCATCCAAGTTAAAGATTAAGACTATGACTCTGTCTCACTCATCGTCAATCGATCCTCAGTGTCACACACTTCTCAAGAGTCTGGTTAGTGCTGGTTTGAGTGGTTGATCAACATAACCATGCCTGGTTAAGCTAGTTAAGAAGCCTGTTGGGACACAAGAATCTAAAACACAAGCCATGCTGCTTTTTTCTTGAATTCTTTGTTTGCTCACGCTTGTCTTCATTGTTCTCTGTGCTGTATTGTGCATTCTCTGCTCGTTTGGAAGCACTTGATGGCTGTAAACCGGCGCAGTGTCCAAACTTGACATTCAACCGATGTTTCTGTGGCAACCAGAAGAGAGTGAATCATGTGGATTATGAGGAGGCCGCTCGACAACTCGCAGATCACACATTTACTCCATATCACTGACACTCTAGCCTTAATTACTGCGAAAATAGAGTCATATATATTTATTTTAAAAAGCTTCAGATTAAAAGATGAACTTTACAATATCACAATTAAAATCAAAGACTAATAGGTCCAAGCTATATAACATGTGGATTGTGTGCATTTCTCTATAAGCGATTTCCTACATCGCTCATTTATTTACAGTCAGTATGTCCATTGATTGATTGATTTATCATATTGGACACTAAGCAAGGTGCACTTTGTGTCTGCTTAAGAAAGCGTGCTTGTGAATACAGTCAGCATGAAATCTGTTACTCTATTCATCCATCTCTGAAACCTGTGAGAGTGATGAAATAAAGTTATTCTCATACACGCACACTGATATCGAGAGCTCCGTTCGACTATACATCACAATTAATCTTCTGCACAAGAATTCGGTCAAAGATCAACGACTGCTAGATACCTTCATAAATTTGGCATGAATAGGATGACAAAGCATGAACTAACCCTGTGATTACACCTCAGTGATGTGACACTTAATGAGCACTCTCAAGACATTATTACCTACAATCAAAATCTCCCTTCTGCTCTGTAGATCCAGTCAAAACAGGATTCCTCAGAGACATTACTGGCAGCTTGAGTCGACAGCTCTGGTCCTAAAGCTGAGAGCGTTTTGAATCATCATCAGGCACTCCTCGAGGAAAGCACCATCGAGCTCAAACACACTGCCTTTTGGACAAATTATTAGGAGGCATCATTTTCAGAAGTGATCCCAGAACAGCCAAGAGCTGAAAAAGAAAGAAAGAACTGGCCTTTTATTTTGATAGGACAGCCTGTGCTGTCTATGTAGCTCATTCCAAATCAGTCCTTTATAGACCTTAGTCAGGTTAGACACCATGATGAACTTAACGTGGATGACAGACTAACTGTTTTACAATGGCACGCACTGTGTGAAGTTTTCACAACTCACAACTTTCAGAACTGTTTTATGGAGTTTTTGTCTACTGAAAGTTTTTTTTTTTTTTACATGCTGTACTTCAGTCCCTCACAGCCTCATTTTCATTCCTGTCAAATATTAAATATGGAGCTCATGTGATATCAGGATATCATGGATATTCTTTAGTCAATAAAACAGCATAAACTACATGGCCAGACCTGTGAGCTGCACACACACACACACACACACACACACACAAACACACACACACACACTGGCTCCTCAAAGCTCGATGCAAACACATGTTTATTCTGCCGCGTCAGACGCTACCTCATGGCTGTTTGTTCAAAAGACTGAACACACTTATTTATTCCACTCAAATTTGTGGCAAGACAAACTGGTAAATAAATACAGTCTGCTTTCAGGAGAGGTGCGCTCTTTTCCATTATTATTTACTGTATTAGGCTGATAGACAGAACAGAAAAAGTGTTGTGATGGATCTGTGTGGTTACTGTGAGCTTGGATGTGTGGGGCTGAATCTGTTGACACGTCTGTGATTTACTGTCAAAACATATCGAGTCTGCAAACATTTCTCTAACTCTTCTGATGGTTAGGATGGTCTGATAACATCACGGCGAACATGCTTTGTGTCTGTCTAATGATGAAAGCAAACAGAGAAAGTAGTTAACGAGTCCCTGGCGTGTTTAGTGTGTCTCTGAACGAACGTAGCTCAGTTGCAGCTTTTTGGTTTTTATGTCCATTCAAGAAAGTCTGCTTTCACTTGAGCCGTTCTGAGGTGGACAACAACATCAAAACATTCTCGATGGCAAAAAGCTGTGGGAGGAAGGCTGAGATATTTTACATGCACACAAACGTTACACGTTTCAGAGCTCTGTTCACATCAGACATAAATGGGCCGAAAGATTATTTCATTACGGCTTCACAGCCAATTTATTAGTTTGTGTGCCTTTGAAATGCTAAATTTCTGCTCCAAATTTGTCTCTCACATGGTTTGGTTCACCAGTTTCTCCCTTTTTCTGTAATCCAGCAAAACGATATCTCATTATATGGTGACTTAATTTTGCAACACAGATAGAAAATAAATGTAATAGCAAACCAGCATTTATAAAAGCAAGAACGTTTTCCATATTTCTCTCCATTAGAGCTAAAACACTCCAGAACGGTGGATGCAGACATTATTGCTGAATGAATAAAACGAAACCAAACAAATTCAAAACACGTTGTGTGAAGGTACACTCACACTCACAC